TTTTTTAATTTCATTTTTGTTGGATTAATTCTTTTTTGAATAATATCACCACCATCCTAATTTATTTATATAAAAAAAATCTCACCCATCCCACCACCGCCGAACTGGGTGATGGTGGTTGTGTTGTCCAAAATATGTTATCTTTCAAATATTTAAAATAAATTAAGAGATGTGGGGTGGGTAGGATTTTTTTGGGGGGTTTTATTTAAAATAATAAAGAAAACAATTAAAATAAATTAACACAATTAAGAAAATAGTAATCCAATACTATAATATTTATTAATATATAAACATTATATATTAAAAACAATAATGATTAATAAACTATAATCCAAAAAAAAAATAAATGAAATTAATAATCCAATAAAATAATATTTTTAACATATGAATATTATATATTTAAAATAATATTTATTAACATATTATAATCAAATAAAAAATAATCTATTAAAAAGGAAATTCAATAATAATTAAATAAATGTAATTAATAATCCAATAAAATAATAGTTATTAATATATAAATATTATATATTAAAAATAATATTTATTAATATATAATAATACAATAAAAAAAGTAATCTAATAAAAAAATTAAAAGATAATTAACTAAAAGAATAAATGTGTAATAATTGAATAAAATTAAAAAGAAGAGATGCAAAAATAGTCATTATAGTATGGTTGTAGAAATGATATCTTAGGATAAAATTTTCATTTTATAGATGTTAATAGCCAAACTTTTAAAATTAATATTTTTGGATAAAAAACGGTCGATGTATTAAAAACTGGACCACTTTTGGATCGGAAAACATTTTTTCCACCAAAACCCCACATAATTTTAACAACCAGAGTGACCATTTTTACAATTTTGTCTGTTATAAACGAATTTTGCTTATATACATATAAAAAAATATATATATATTTAAAAGCTTATTTTTATTTTTCGTACAAAGTCTTCAACATCAGTCATCAGCGAACAATACACATATTAATATTTTTAAATGAAAACCAATTATCTAATTTTTGTAAGAAAAATACCAAATAAACCATTTTTTTTTGTTAAAACTTATAATGAGCAGTCGGCCGATTAGCACCAGCCATGACTTCTTCAAGTACACATTAAACCAATTTTGAGTTGGTCTTTGTCAGTCATTTCATCTAACGCTTGTGCGTGTGTTTGTTACCTTCCCTTTTGTGTTTTCCTTTTATCTTCCAATTCACGGTCAACCATAGCGGTTTATACATGTGATGTATGTGTTTTAGTCATTAGTTATTTATTATTTTCTAATTTAGTTTTACTTGTTTAATTAGTTAATATTATAAAATATTTTATATTTTGTGCTTTTGTTTTCAATTTAATTTAAATTAATTTTTTCTCAAAAAGATCTTGCATCATTTTATTTTTATTCAAATTGTTATTTTAACAAATTGACCGGAAATTATCTAATTTTAGATTAACTCTTTTTGAAAATCCTTCAACTTTTTTAGGGTTGTGCTATAAGTACCCAATTTTTTCAGATTTACCCCCCTAATGTCAATCTATTCAAATTATTGACATTTTATTTGACATCATGTTTTTTGTCTTTTTTGACACAAATATATATATATATATATATATATATATATATATTATATATATATTATATATATATATATATATATTTATACTAGTGGTGTACCGCGCGATGCAGCGGCGGCGATTTGTTTTATTCCGGCAATAAGTTTGTGGTCGGAAATTTGTTTCATTTCGGGGTCATCAAATTTTTTTTATTTCGGTGTAGGTTATTATTTGGATTGAAAATAAAAATATGTTATTTTGTTTTAAAAAGTTTGTGATTTTTACTTGAAAAGTTGTTTTTTACACAACTATGCAATCATGACCTTATAACAAACTTAAAGTATATTTGCAATCAAAATTTGAATTTATTTTTTTTTAATACGACTTTAGCAACAGTTAAAAAATGAGTATTGTCAGTCATTTTAACGATTCGTTTTTATTTTGACATCGATTGAAAAAAAATATTATATGTCATCTAAAAATTGTTAAGTTATTTAACACTACAACACTGATAAATACAATCACACACGATGTTGTCTATATTTTTGTAGGTCTTACAATATCAATGACTCTATACAATATTTTTATTGAAAATCAAATTTCATATGTTTGTGCTCAGTTGACATATATTGTGGAATATTTATCGGCTTTTCCATGACGTTATCGACCTATACCTCATAACTTGAACCTAATTGAAACTTGAACATTGAGTTTATCGTTACATGGTCCTTTTTAAATGTTTATTTTTATGTCAAAAAATGTATTTATAGTTTTTTCTTAAATGCCATCAAAATTGACAGTAAAATTTAATCCATGATAAAAGATATTTGGTGGTGATCATAGGTTTCGTTATTAATAAAAATTAAAAGTCGTTATTTGCCATTATAAAGAGTTATAAATGGTAATAATATTCGATATATGTATTATTTCATAAATATTGACAGTATATTTTCAACATCGTTTATTATAGTAAAGAGTACTAAAATCAAAAAATCAAATTAAGAGAAAACTCATTATGACTATAGATGTGATAATATTTTTACTCATATCCACTAATATGTCAGACCTCTATGGACTATTCTAAAGTTCACATGACTTTTTAACTTTTATGTTATATATTTTATTGTTTAATTTATTTATCTGATATATATATCAAATTTAAATACTTGATAAACATAGATCTGATTAAATATACTTTTTAATTTTTAAATTAATAGCATTCAACAAATTTATGTAAATTAATCTTTCTCAAATAAACTTATTTAACAAATTTTTGGTAAATATCATAACAATGAGGTAAAATAAAATTACAAAAAAGTTCTGATAAAATTTTCTTTATTTTTCCTGATATTTCACATTTTCATATTATTATATATATATTAAATTTATGAAAGATTTTAATAGTAAAGTGACACTTTTTTGTCAATTTTGGTCCTCCAACTTACAACATTGACCCTTCATCTTTATGCTTTTGTTCACAAACAACCCTTTCACTTTGGTTTGAATTTTTCATAACCCTCACCTTTTATTACATATTATTAGTATTTAGTCTTTTGGCAGAAATGGTCCCTCATCATTATTATTATTATTGCTAGACAAAATTACACGATTGGTCCCTGTGGTTTACCAGATTTAACATTCTCTTTTTGATTTAAATTAATGTTTTATTTATTAGAAAATACTCACCCAATACCATAAACCCCACCCACCATCTGCCTCACCACCACCACCAACCACCGCCAAATTACATAAATGGTCCATATGGTTTACCCATGGTGACAAATTCAGTCCCTACTACCTGAAAAGACCAAATTACCCTCACATTAACGGACAAAAAACAACCAACATGCTACTTTACTTTACAAAGCAATATCTTCCGACCCCGGCAACGCCGGGGAATCTTTTCTAGTTAACATTATAACTTTATATTTATATCTATAGATACTTTTTAGTTTTCTTATTATCATTTAATTTTGTCGACATTATATTTAAAGTAGGTAGTTTTATTTTATATTTATTTCAAGTGAAAATAAATAAAAAATATCATGTTAAATTCTTATATTTATTAAACAAATCTTGATAATAAAAGAAAATTGGATTTGAAAATAAAAATCTATAGATAAACATAAAAACAAAAGTTTATTATTTTATACACTTGAAAAGATGATAGTCCATTAATTGCTCTATTATATACTTTTCTCCATAGTCATAATTATTTTTACTATTCACTTTTCAGACATTAGGTAATGATTAGTTTTATTTTTAATTTTACTTTATGAGACATTAGGTAATCAACCTTACCTAATTAATTACTCTACCATAGTAAAATTTACAGTATATTTACTTATCATTATAGATAATATGAACCATATTTCTTTCATATGAAAATAGATAAACAATACTCGGTAATGCTTAAAAAAACAAAACAACTATTAATGATAAAACATTAAAATGTCGATTTTTACAAGTTCATTAGTATAGATAATTAAGTGGTGATTTTATTATATTATTTAAGTAGTGTTTGTATATATAAGATAGAATGAAATTTTTATAATAAATATAAGCATATCTTACAATAAACCAGGACTAAAAAAAACAAAACATAATTACTATAATATTTGTTGTTTTTTATGAGCCAATAAACTCATCTGAATCTCAAATCCACACATATCAAAGTATAGTTTTCGAAAACAACAGCAAATGAATATCTCCTTTTTTTATGAACGACAAATGAATATCTCCCAAACAACTGTATGTCATATTTGAATATACAACGATACAAATATTCAACTATTTGAACAATAAAAAAACAAAATAATAGTTCATTAAAAAGAAATCTAAATGTAGTTGAAAATTTACTTACAAATCATCTTAAACAAAAACAAACATAGTTCTTTTCAAAATTATCACAAACACGTCTACAGAAATTTGGTTTCTAAACTAAAATCTAACAAAGACAATGCATAAATACATATGTAGCTAAATAGAAACACTTATCCTTTTCAAGATAAGAACTTCGTGATAGGATGAATGTTTACTAAAAAAAATAAACATGAGTCTTTAGGATCTGAAAGCAACAAAAACGAAAAGCTAACTAACCATGACTGGTTAACCTCAAATAAGATGGATTGATGGATAAGTGCTTTACTTAAACCTCATATACAAAAACTAAAATCAATATACACCCAATCTAACGAAATACCAACCCCACAACATACACACAAATATGTAGGATCGAGAAAATAAAGTAAAATGAAAAATAATTGTGATGCGTATCTATTTCTTTCGTCTCAAGCCAAAGAGAGATAGAGACCTCCTTGGTTTCTACGACTCTTTACAAAATAGACGTGGCGATGTATATAACTTTTGAAAAAATAGTACTGGTGGAGGTGTTCACGTTTTGGTGATGGCGCTTAGGGCCCTTGGCCAATGCACCAAGCCTGGCATGAACCCATCTCATATCAAACCATGTCTTTTAAGGGTTTTTACAGGAAGGTTTTCAGTAGAAAGATTTTCAAATCTAGGGTTTTCAGTAGTAGTTGTAAGGGAGAAGAAGATGGGGTGGCGCGGAATGGCGGCAACGGCAGATGGTGGTGGCGTTGTAGAGCGTACATGGCATATGGTCATGGTGTTGAATGGTTGTGATGGTTACAACAGGAGCTAATTTTAGGGTTTTGGGATTGCTAAAAAAGAATATGAAAAAATCCTTTTAATCCGAGAAATAGATAGCCTTCAGTGGGGTGCATCTGTTTTTATAGGGTATTGTATATGAGTCTTTATTGTACACTGAGTTTTGATTGGTTTGTTTTAAATCACACAGATCATCCCCAATATAATCTACACCATCCATCATAAATTCAATGGTCAATATCTTATCTCCTTGTTTTTTAAGACAATTGTCTTAAAAATAAGATGGCCCACAAATATATTATAAAGTAGTAAGATATATATATATTATATATATATATATATATATATATATATATATATATATATATATATTAGCAATCGAGTTTCTCGTTTACTTCTAAAAGTGTTTGTTATATTGGAACCATTTCAATATAATAAACAATACATAGTATATATATATATATATATATATTATATATATATAATATAATTATAATAATAATAAGCTAACCACTTGGAACGATTTTAAAAAAGTTTTGTTTTTTTTTTTCATTTATCCTTTACTTCTAATACCTTTTTTCTTTTTTGACACACTTGGAACTTACATTGGATTCCTTTTCCTTTTCTTTATCCATTATATTTACCACAAATTTTTTGTTTGTCATCTTTCAAATTCAAAAGATTCCCATATTGAGAAATAAACTGTAATTATTGTACACCTAATAATAGAAATATTATTATTCGTTTATTATTATTATTATTGATTTGATATATCTTTATCTTTATCTTTATCTTTAATAATAAAGAAGCTGATTTGACATAACTTTAACTTTATACATTATATAAACGAAAGATTCGTTCGATTCACAAAATTATCGATCGTTCCTTCCGTCCCTATGGCAAGTTTTCACACAAACATGGTATGTATTTTTGATAGATAATTTTAGTTTAATCGTAAGTTGTTATATGTCATTTTTTTAGTGGAATTCTTTTAAACTGACCAAATATATATTTATATTTGTTAGGTGTTTAGCAGTCGTGAAAACTTAACAGAGTGGGTGCAAGAAACAGCACGGTCTCTTGGATACGTGGTTGTTATTAAAAGAACAAAGACAAAAGGACATGGATATGGATATATTTCAAAAATTATATTTATGTGTGATCGGGGTGGTGTATCAAGAGGTCCGGAGACGTCCACCAAAAATACAGGGTCTAGAACATTACAAATGTCGAAGGAACATTACAAATGTCGAAGGAACATTACAAATGTCGAAGGAACATTTCAAAAATCATACTTTAACCAAGATCAACCATCTTATACTTCAATCCCACTTATGAATGAAATTCCACATCAATTTCATCCATACGTCAGGAACATTACAAATGTCGAAGGAGATGGAAATTGTGGATTTCGGTCTATAGCAGTTGCTCTTGGTCGTGGTGAACATGATTGGCTTCAAATTAGGTACGATCTATACAACGAGTTATTATCACACTATCAAGAGTATGCCATGATTTATGATGATGTTCATTTTTTAAACCGCATAAGTCACTCGTTGAATTACTCTGGATCGGGTTTTGCGGTATCGGAGTATTGGTTGATTATGCCAGACATTGCTATACTCATTGCTAACAGATACGGTGTTATCGTTATTTATCTAAGCAAACAAGGTTCTTCAACGTGGTTCCCACATCGATATGGCCCGCAAGACATACCAAACCTTGCATATGTCGTTATCTGTAACATCCGGATTCCCAGGTATCTTATTTTAAGTATTTATATTGAATTTTAGAGAGGGACTCGGCGAGTAGGCGCTCAGACTCGCCGAGTGGGATCGCGCATTTCTGGTCAGATTTAATGAAGGACTCGACGAGTCGATGCGTGGACTCGGCGAGTCCGCGCTGTTAAGTGAAACCCTAATTCTCGGGGCCTGTGCCCTATTTAAATGCCTTTATAGCCTCCATTGCGGCCACTTCACCCCTGAGAAACCCTAGAGAGAGAAAGAGAACGTTTGTGGTGCAAGAGGAAGGCTAATTCACCATTTCTTGTGTGTTTTAGCAAAAGAGAAGTAGTTTCCAACAATAGGAGGTCAAGGGAGCTGTGGATCCAGGGTTTTCAAGTTCAGATCTACACTATTGAGGTATCAAATCGAACTTCCCTTCTGTTTTGGGTTAAGATCTATGATTTAGGGTTTTCTATAAACCTTTTTAGGCTTGAAAGTTTGAGGTTATGGTCCCTTGCTGGGTTAGACCTCAGATCTGGACCCATAGAGGTCCAGAGAACCTTTCCCATTATGCTTTATGCTTGTTCATGGAGGATTGGAGACTAGGTTGCCATTTTTGGAGTTATTTCTCCATTTATGACTTGATGTGGGTTGCATGCACGTAAAGGTTGCACCTTTACGTGACCTTTGAGCACTTGAAGGCCAGATCTATAGTTTAGAGAAGCAGATCTGACCTCAGAAGGTCATTTGAGAGTTGTTATGGAGGCAACTCGCCGAGTCCATAAGTGGACTAGACGAGTCGAGTCGGGGTTGCCCCGCGATTCGTGACAGGTGTAACCCGTCGAGTGGAAGGATGACTCGACGAGCCAAGAGAGGCTGAAAGGATTCAGAGGACCTGCATGGACTCGCCGAGTCGCCCGTGTGCACTCGACGAGTCGGGTCAAAGTTGACCGTTGACTTTAGGGTTCTGGTCAAGACTGATTCAGGAGAGTTCAGGGAAGGGTAGAATGGCCTTCTACCCAATCTGTAGAGATGAGATCATGAGTGAATATTAATCGGGGATGTTATCTGAATAATAGGAGGAGGCTAAGTCGGGACGTTGAGCACGAGAGTTTATCCGACTTCATTGAGGTGAGTCTTCTCACTATACATTACCTAGAGTGGTATTTATGTGTAGACCAGAGGGTCTTGTATGCTATGTGTATATATATATGAGTTATGTGCATTGTGTTATATGTATGCTATGTGTTGAATAGACCGGGCCGGAGGGCCCAACGATATAGACCGGACCGAAGGGTCCAACGACACAGACCGGACCAGAGGGTCCGACGAGCTATGACCGGACCAGAGGGTCCAACGAGATACGGGACTGGAGGGTCCCGCTGAGACACATCGACCGGAGGGTCGTATTGTAGCCTCGAGTGGCGTATGTGTTGCATGTGGTATTTGGGGGAACTCACTAAGCATTTATGCTTACAGTTGTTGTGATATGTGTTTCAGGTACTAGCGAGGATCGCGGGAAGGCGCCGGCATGATCCGTACACACTGAGAGGATTTATGTATTGAGGATCTTGGGATTTGTTATTGAGATAACATGTGTTACATTGGATTACTATGATATTTTATGAATGAGATTACGTTTTTAAAAATGAAAAATTGTTTTGAAAATTTACGTCGTTACATTATCGCCCACATTCACCCTAACCATTATGTAATGGTTTATTTACAAGGAGCGTATCCAATGTCTGATGTTTTGTCAAGGCTTCTTCGTACATACAGATCAGAACATTCGGCTGCATGGGAAACATTGTATAGTGCTCGACTAAATGTTTTCAATCCGTATAATGCACCACGCAATACACAATTGTAATACCGTGCCAATTAGTATTCGTAATTAATAGGGACAAACTTTGTTTTTATTCCGATTTTATATAGTCGTTTGAATTTATAATGTCCGATTTGTAAAATGTTGTTTGAAGTTTATAATAATAATAACAGTAATAATATAAATATTAAAATATAAAAAAATATTTAAAAAACTGATTTTATATAGCCGTTTGAATTTATAATGTCGTCCGAATTTTAAAATTTTATGCGAAATTTATAACAATTATAATAATAATAATAATAATAATAATAATAATATAAATTAAAAAAGAATTAAAAAAAAAATGTCGTCCGAATTTTAAAATTTTATACGAAATTTATAACAATAATAATAATAATAATAAATTAAAAACAACTAAAAACAAAATAGAAAAAAAATAAAAAAAAAACAACAAATAGACAAAAGATCAAATAGGGTGAGATTGGAAAATGAAAAGGTCCTTATAGAAAAAACCCCCTTTTTTTTTTTCTCGAATTAACGTCGCATACTCATCTCTTCTCGGACCAAAACAAAATTTATTGCCTAGAATACAATTTTGACAAAAGTAATATTTGTCTATACATTTTTCTTATTTTTGACATATAAGTATTTTCAATAATATAATTAATTATTAATGACTGCTTAGAAGTTTACGATGATCAAATACATTCGTTCAAATGATTAAACCGCGATGCATGGCCAAGTTGTTTAGCTCAACCAATAGAGTGGCAACAAATATTCCAAGTTCCAACCCTTATTAATTTATTATTATTCATGTCACTTTACAGAAACACAAAATTGATGTTTTCAATTCTATTTTAACTTTGGATAATAAATCTAATCAAATACCATGATTAGTTCATTTTGAATTTTGATACTACCTTTTAAACTTCAAACTTATTTAAATAAAATCTTAAATTCAATTTTATTTTTTATTTTTATTTTTAAAAAAAAGGAAAAACGTCTTCTGATTCATTGCCCATTGCCACCAAACATGGGCCTAGTAGAACATGGAAGTAAAAGATGTGGAAGAATCGGCACGTGACAGATCACATGTGAAGTGTAGAACCAGAACGGCGCCATTATAAAAACCCCAAGAACAAAAGACATGGTCAATCGAACAAGACAAAACTTTCAGAAGAAACATCTGCGAAATTCATAATTCTTTGCTCCATTCCGTTCTCCACTCCGATACGCAAGACACCAAGATTTCGTTCTGTAACTGAAACCCACATTCCCTGCAGTCGGTGACTATTTATTTATATATATTTTCGTTACGAATTACCGCGTTTCTAGCCTGATCTTGCATGATCTAGCTTGCATTTGATCAGCGTCCTCTCTCTATATCTAGTTTTCGTATTTACTAAACAGCTTCAATTCTTTATTTTTTGTTTCTTTAGTTTGAAGATGGAAAGGTTTTGGAAATTCAATCGGTTTAAGCTGCGGTTAGCAATCCTTTTTGTTGTTGCATTAGTAATCGATCACAATTCTAGCCTCTGTTGGTCTCTCAACACCGAAGGTGTGGCGTTTTCCGAAGCAACTCTTTGATTGTTGACTGAAATTTGAACACGTTGATTAACGTTTTGGGAGTTGTGGTTTTGCAGGGTTGGCGTTGTTGAAGTTTCGAGATGGAATTGAGAGGGACCCTTTAGGGGTTTTGTCTGGTTGGAATAACGACGGTGAAGCGGCGGATTTGGGTCCTTGTTCTTGGTTCGGCGTTGAGTGTTCCGATGGAAACGTGGTCATATTGTAAGCTTTTATCGTCTCATCACTCATCAATTAATGTTCATATGATATGTGCAGTGAATCTGATAGTTTAGTTTGTGAATCCCATTCCGTGAGTGATTTGACTTGAAGGTGTTCGATCTAATGCCTAGCTGAGGGAATTAAGCTTGATTTCTTGTTAATTTACAGGAATTTAAGAGATCTATGCCTTGAAGGAACGCTAGCACCAGAGCTCGGAAAGCTAACAAATGTAAAGTCCATGTAAGCATCCAAGATTCATATCAAAACCTCCATTAGTGACTAATCATGTTCTGATGATTGTTTCATATATATTGTGTTTACAGTATTTTACGCAATAATTCTTTCTATGGAACAATTCCTCAAGAAATTGGAGATTTGAAGGAACTGGAAGTGCTGGATTTGGGATACAATAACTTCACTGGGCCATTCACATCTGATCTTGTCAATAACCTTTCCCTATCAATTCTGTAAGTTTTGATTTCAGTCGTTACATAATTTAAAATGTTCATAATCTTTTTGCTAACTAACTTCATATAATTATGAATGCAGTTTATTAGACAACAACAATTTTCTTGATAATCTTTCACCAGAAGTAAACAATCTCAAAACACTTTCTGAGTTTCAAGTAGATGAAACCAGCTCACAAGCTCTCATAATAATGACTTCATCTGTAACAAAAGATCCAGTTCTTGGTAAGTTTGACTTTACAGTTTACAGTCAAGATAACTAATTTCCAACTCCAAATCCAATAATTAACAAAACCCATATCAAATCTTGAATCAAAATCTCTATACTTCTTACAGGAATGCAATTGAATCCAGATATGTTACAGAAAGAAAGCTATTACAGTTTTCACCATCAGGTGCTCCAGTTTCATCTATATCATTGCCTCCATCTGCCACATCACCTTCCACGTCACCAGTTTCAGCCCCATCACCTTCCACGTCACCAGTGTCATCCCCATCACCATCCCCAATACTTCAACCATCACCTCTTTTCCCAATTCCAGCAGAAACACCATCTTTATTACCAGAAAACAAACCTGCTTTAGCTCCTTCACCTCGAAGTTTTATATCTTATAAATCAAAACATCACACAGTTCTTATATGGTCTGGGGTATTAGGAGGATTTATGTTTATATTTCTTTCTGTTTTTGGATTTGTATTTTTTAAAAGAAGTAGAGTGGTTACTGTTAACCCATGGGCTACAGGGTTAAGTGGACAGCTGCAAAAAGCATTCACAACAGGTCTGTTTTTATATTTTTGGTTTTCTTTTTCATATATTACACAAAAGGCAATATTATTATTATTTTTTTCATGGGTGATTTCAGGTGTTCCTAGTTTACAACGCCCTGAACTTGTAACAGCTTGTGAAGATTTTAGTAATATAATTGGGAGTATGTTAGACGGAACTGTTTATAAAGGGACTCTTTCAAGTGGGGTTGAAATAGCTGTGACATCAACTGTCATAACGTCTGTTAAAGATTGGACTAAGAGTTCAGAAACACAGTTTAGAAACAAGGTTAGAAACCTAGTTATATATAAAATAGAAAATCTTGCTTCTTATTTTAAATATTTTTAATTTTTTGGGGTTTATTTGTAGATAGAGATGTTGTCAAAGGTGAATCACAAGAACTTTGTGAATTTGATTGGGTATTGTGAAGAACGAAAGCCTTTCACAAGAATGATGGTTTTTGAGTATGCTCCAAATGGGACTCTCTTTGAGCACTTGCATAGTAAGTTCTTTTTACATTCTCTATTATTTTTTAATTTTTGTTCTTTCGAAGGTTAAATATGGAAAATCACGTTACATTTTCAACCAATTATTGAAAAAGCCATTATGTTATCCTTTTTAGCAAAAATAAACATCCTTCCATTATTTTTTAGTATATGAAATTATTGAAAAAACTATTAATATAATTATTAAGGAAAAAACCATTGCATTTACACCTATACTTTAAATTCCTGGATATGAATGTAAGTTACGTATATATTTTTAGAACATGATTGTGGCATCCTTGGTTTTTAGATTCATTTTTTTCTTATGGGTTATATATATATATGCGTACTTCTTTTTGCCACCTAAATACTCTTTTTTCTGTCTTATTTTTCTCATGGATATTTTATCATATAGTCTCAAGGAACATGCATGCCTTCTGTTCATCGGTCAATTTGACTTCAATAACGTTTGTGGATAGTATCTGAAAATATAATTTCTTTATTAGAAAAGAAAAGGTCGATAATTGTGGGTAAATGCAATGGACTTCTTCTCTTTTGTTAAAAAAACAATAATAAAATGGCTTTTTCAAAAGGTAAATGCAAGGACTTTCTCTTCGCCTAAAATAGTAACACCATAGTTTTTTCAATTATTTCATGCAATAATGCAATGGGCTCTTTCTTATGCAGCCAATAAAACCAACAAAAATGTTATTTTTAACTGTAAAAAAATTATGGAAACGTTTTTCCCATTAAGAAGAAAATGGCTTTCTTGTATAATTAGGGAAAAAATGTATTATCAAGCATTTTTTAATACCTAGATGAAATTCTTAATTAAATCAATCATTCATTCCAAAATTCATTATACTTGTCAGAATAAATTTCTAATAATCATTTGACTTTTTCATCATCTTCATTAGATTCTTTGATCAATCATTCATGCCTGCATACCAGTCAATAATTCGTATCTTCAACATCAAGAATAATGTCGTGCAATAGCAACTAGCATTATTTATTGATTATTCATCCAAAACTACATTTTTTTTATCTCTCATAACAACTGGCATACATCCAAAGCACATGTTCTTGAAACATGAAAGAATTAGGTAGAGTACAGTAGTACTTGATATAATTATTGACTAACCATTTCCTAATAAATATTTATATTCAACAGTTAAAGAAGCAGAACACCTTGACTGGTCAATGCGGTTGCGTATAGCTATGGGCATGGCATACTGCCTTGAATACCTCCACCAACTCAACCCACCTATCACCCACAACAACCTCCAATCTTCTTCCATATATCTAACCGAAGACTACGCTGCCAAAATCTCAGATTTCAGCTTTTGGGATTCCCAAAAAACGGGTCCCACAAAACCCCACACCCCACCTTCATCTTCATATTCATCTTCATCCCCTCAAACAAATGTCTACAGCTTTGGTTTAATCCTATATGAACTAATCACTGGTAAGGTACCTAACCCTAATAGTAACACCCCATCATGGGTATCGGATTTTTCAGTGGATCCAACTTTGACTTGGGTCAAACAAGATTCGGTTGATGAACTATTTCAAGTGGTAAAAAGCTGTGTTCTTTTAGAACCGAATGAAAGACCGATTATGAAAGAGGTGACATCTAGGTTAAAGGAGATCACAGACATGACACCTGAAAGCACAATACCAAGATCATCTCCACTTTGGTGGGCTGAACTTGAAATCTTATCATCAACAGAATCTATTTAGAAACATTTTGTATCCTATTTTTCAAGTGAAACTGAGTTTTATCTGTATATATATATATATATATATATATATAATATATATATATATATATATATATATATATATTCTATGTAGTTAATAAGTTCCCATTTCTTTATCTTTAATGTAAACCAAATTGCAACTACTTCCAATTTGTAATGTTCAAGAACAAGAGAGAATCTCAAAACCAAAAATTATAATGTTCAAGAATTTATAAAGAAACAATGATTTTACAACTTACAATTAGACTCGTTGTATATGCATGGAATTACATCTTTCTCCCTCTTTTTTGAGCCTAAATTCACGTAATGTAAAAATACACAGCTCGATTCGTAGCCCCTGAGCTTCTTGATTCTCAACTTTCAAAATCTCTTCTTCTTCCATTTTGTCATGCATGCATTTTGGCCGTGAATCTGCAATCGATCTTCATTTCATTTCTCTCCAAGATGATTGGAAAAGTAGAAAGTCATGTATATTCAGCAGCTTTTTGTGTTCGATGATAAAGCTCAAGAGTGTCCTTATGAGTAGGATCCAAACATAATCCCGCTTCACAATCTCTTAATGCCAGCTCATACTCACTCATTGACTCATAAAATGCTGCTCTAAGATGAAGCATTTGAAGCTCAGGTTTAAAAGCTATCGCCTTTGTAAGCTCTTCAACAGCTTCACTTTCCTTTTGTTCATCCATCAACACTAATACATTCAAGTTTAACACATTAACAAGATTCCCTTTTCTTTATTTTTTTCAATAAAAAATTTGATGTAAAAAAAAAAAGAGTACCTGCAGCTCGATATCTATATGGGTAAGTTCTTAATGGATCCAGCTGTGTAGCCATTGATAGATCACTTGTAGCATTATCACGATCACAATACTCTGACCTTTTTTCATAAGCAGAAGCACTATTTCCCGCCTTTTCTATCAACTTTGTCATCTCATCATATGCAGCTTTTCTTTCATCTTTTAAAGAATAAACACGTGCAAGCCCTTGATGAGCTCGTGTATGCTTAATATCAAGAGCATTTATATAACAATCTGCAGCAAGATCATGCTTCCCACAATCCACGTATATACTCCCAAGATTATTCAACGCCTACAAGATTCGATTTTTTCATTACCCTTTTAGTTCTTTAAGGTTTAGGGTTTAGGGTTTGTGAAAATTGAAATTACTTACTTGTCCTTTTCGAAGACCATCTGAAGGGCATTTGAGAGCATCGATAAGAAGTTGTATAACAAAAGAAGAAGAATCAGAATCCAGAGATGCATCTGCTAATGTATACGCTTTAAGAAAATACGCTTCGAATGATCTTTGAATCAAAATCGACTCTTCTGCTTTTGAAAGAGCTTCTTCTCGATAACCCGTGTCATATAAAATCCACCCTTCATAAACAAGACGTTCATGCTTTGTAATTGCAAGATTTCTAGCCAATCGCAAGCTCCGCATGGCTGCCTTTTGGCAATTTAATCTAGAAAAAAAGTTCTTTTTCAAGATCCTTAAAACAAAATATAATAAAATAAGAATAGACTTATAGCGATGGTTACCTTAAAAGAAGTAAAGATTGTCTGAATCTTAAAAGACTCTTCCCTGGATCATGAACAAGCATTTGATGTATAATTGCAAGTGAACCAATGTCATCTATACAAGACCATCGATCATAAAGCTCTACCCAACAATCAGCTGGTGTCCATTGTTGTACTTTTTGATTAAGAACTTCTACCAAATAATCACCTCTCATTTTACCATGAAACATCATGTAAGTCGGGTCTAAACTTAACAATGCACATATATCTCTCACAGCAGCTTGGTAATCTTCAAGGCAAAGATGAAACCAAGTCCTTAATTCAAGACAATCAGGGGAAATTTTGAAACGGATGATTTTGTTTATCTCTTCAACAGCTTCATTGATTTGATTCTCACCCACCATTGATACGGATCTGTATTTATATGGGTATGAAAGTGTTGGATCTAATTTGGTTGCTTCTTCTAAATCTAGAATCTTTTTGCTTCCAAGAGTGTATAAAGATCGTTCTTGATACATCCATCCGTTTGGTTTGTTTTCTGATAAAATCTTGTTGATTAATTCACGTGCTAAATATGTTTTCCCTTGTTTATACATTGTTCTAGCAATCCCTGTTGCTGAATAAACATGACCCATTTCAAAAGCTGCTTCGAAACATGTTTGGGAGTGTTTGTATTCTTCTCTTTCAAATAACAAAACACCCAATTGATGAAACGCGAGGGTTTTCTGCCACGTGTCGGTTGCTGATTCGATGAGTCTTTCGAAGAGCGTGACTGTGTTGACTGATGTCATCTTTTCTTCCATGGCGACTTGGGTGAGGAAATAGTATAACAGAAAGGAGGAATGATTAACCGAAGCAAGTTTCTCCATGGATTCAGAAGAGGAAAACAAGGTTAGAACTTTGGGGTTGTTTAAAGAACTTGGAAGCTCTCTGAGTAGAACTTGTAAGCATGAAGCTACAAGGAGACTTGCCATGTTTTCAAATCCGTATTCGATGAAGATCAATGCGTCTTCAATGGTGGAAATTAATGGGGACAGGTAAACCTCACAGGCTGATTTCATTTCCTCGCAGCAGAACTTCTGTGAAAATGATAGAATCTCCAAAACTATACTTGGAGAGAAAAAGTTTTCCATTTGTTTTGTTCTGCTAAATACTTCCACACCTCTCATGGCTTCTTTTGAGATCCCAATTCGTGAAAAATCGATGGTTTCTTTTGCAGATTCGATGAAATTGCCGTATAATAAGGTGTTTAGTGGGCTAGACAATGAAGCTATTTTAGGTCTGAGACAAGTGATTACCTCGTTTCCGATGCAAAACCAGACGATTTCGTCATCGTTGCCATGAACTAAGAATTCGTTGTTGAGGGAAGTGCGGGAACCAGTGACATTGAGATTCTCAGAGGCGTTTTCGGAAACACATTGGCAGCGATCGAAAACGGAATGGGAAGGATCATACCCGATATCGATTAAAGCGGATTTCGGGCATTCGAGAACTTTACCGATACAATCCATGGCGGAAATGCCCACAAGCTCGTCTTCTCTCCTCTCATACCGCAGCCACGCAGAGAGTACAACCTTCGAATGTATGTCGACAGCGTGTTCCCGAGCCGACTGCAGACTTCTTCGAAGCAGCTTCGGATCACCAACTGCGCAAAATAGCGCGTACTGTTCTAAATATAGACCACAACTTTCCGATTCACAGGAAGAATGGATGATTCTCTTGTAGAGGTCCGAGATTGAGTTAATAAAATCAAGGGGATTAAGGTGAGGATCTAAGGGGGGTTCAATAAGGTGTGTATCAGGGAGCCCATAAGGAAGAAGCGATTTAGCATTGACGAATGGGAGTGTTGTCGATTCATCGCTGTTCGATGAAGACGAGGACAAAATGGAGTTGATGGTAAGAGCATGTACTTGGGTGGGTTTTTTACACCGGTCTTTGAACTTAAGACCGCCGGATTTCATGGTGTTTGTAAATTGACGGATCAGATTCGCGATTTTCGCTGATCTTGGTGATGATGATGAACACCCATCATGAGTAGCAGTTGAGATCGACATGAATCAACTGGGTGTTGATGAAATCGTGGGTTAATTTAAACCTAGCCAGCGTTCACCACCATTGATGCAGAGCAGAACCTTGACTGCTGCTGCGTGCATCCGTGATTGTATGAGAGAGAAAGAGAGAGAAAAAGAAAGAACATGTTTAAGGGGTTTTAATTATTAGTTTATTTTCTATCAACATTATTAAATAAATCTAGAAAAAGATTTGTGGGTGTAAAATCTTTTGGAGTGTTATTCAATAGATAATTAATGTTATAAAAAACGAGAGTGAATTTCAAGAAACTTTATTCTGCCATGAAACACATAAAGAAACTTGCATTGCATCCATGTGTGTGTCTTTAAAAGTAATTTTTCTCATATTGAAAATTTATTAAAAACAAAAGAATAAATTACAGTTTTGGTCCATGTAGTTTGCTCTAATATGCACTTTTGGTCTAATGTTTGATTTTTTTGACATTATTGGTCCATGTGGTTTTCAAATCTTGCACCGAAGGTCCTAAGGCAGTTACCGTCTATAATGCTCCGTTAAGTGCATGTGAATTGATAAAATTGCCTTTTTTTTTTTTTATCATTTTTTATATTTTTTTTTTATTTCTTCTTATTATTAGTTTGACTATAAATATAATCATCTCACCTATCTTGAATCCACCACTAACAAAAGAAAAGAAAAAAAAGTCAGAAGAAAAAAAAAAAAAAAAAAAAAAATTTCTTTTGTGTTTCCAAATTGGAGAAAAGTGGAAGGAAATTAATCATTTTTTTTTCTTTCCAAATCCTCCCAAATTAGAAGGAAAGTTAGGAGGGAAAATAATCATTTCATTTCCCTCCACTTCTTCCTTTAATGAAACTTGGGAACACCAATTTATATTATTTCATTCTCATTTTCACCCATTTCTTTATATTTTCTCTCATTAAATTGAACTCAGGAACGGGGTATACTACCCCCACCACCGATAACTATCACCATCGCCATCACTCACTATCACCATCTTCATCAATCGCTATCATTTCATCACCAATAATCATCATCACCACCGACTCCAATCACCACCAATCACAATTACCATCACCATCGTCATCAATCACCACCAGCCCCACCACCGTCACCATCAATAACTATCAACATCGTCATCACTCAATATCATCATCATCTTACCACCATCACCGACTCCAATCACTACCATCACCAACACCAATCACCATTATCATCGTCATAGATCACCAATAACGTAACCACCATCCCCACTACCAATCATCGTTATCACTACCATCACCGAAATGGCGACACTAATCACCATCATTGTCATCAATTACCACCATCCTCACTACCAATCACCCCAACCGTGAGCATCATTACTCACCACCACTAATCACCATCACCACCACCCATTATCACTACTAATCACCACTACCAATTACCACCTCCTCACTTATTATCACCATTAAACAACCTTCGG